TGGAACCATTTTTAATGGACTGCAATCAAATACTACCAGTAAACAGATATTGATCTCTAAATGCTATATCTGCAAAAGCTCTCTGTGTTCAGAAATATTACAATGATTTCTGATCACATGACACTGAAGATTGGAGAAATGGCTGCTGAAAATTCAGATTTGCCATCACAGGAACACATGACATTTAAAATATATTAAAACAGAAAACAGTTTTCATTTAAAATTGTAATATTTGACAATATTATTGTTTTTACTAGTTTACAATATTATTGTTTTTACTGTATTTTTGGTCAAATAAATGCAGCCTTTGCATTGATGCATTTTACAGTGGATGATTGCAGCTGTTCACCATGAAAATTAATTTTGAAGATAGTTCACCTCAAAAATGAAAATTCTGTCATTGTTTTCTCACTGTAAATAATGTTCTAAACTTGTATGACCGACCTTCTTCCTTTAAACACAAAAAGAGAAATTCGGAAGAATAATTTTGTTATTTTTCTAGAATTATCACATAGCCTACAGACAAGAGTCAAGAAATCTAAAACTGACTAAAAAAGCACCAAGTTCATTTTCACATAATCACATGGCAAATGTATCAGTGTCGCCTGGCATTACTGACACCTAGGTTGGTGCAACATGTGATATATGTGACTTTTATGGCACTCATTTTGTCCTTTTTGGAGTTTGACAGCCCATGGTCACTGTATGCTTTCACTGTATGGAAAACAACATTCACTAAGTCAGTTCATCACTGTCACTCACCCAGTGAGCAGAGACGGAGGGGTCGGCCCAGGCCCATTGATCGAGAATACTCCCATACTGCTGATGCCACTGGTAGCCATGCTGGAATTATGGGCAGTGGCTGAGCGCTCTGGGTAGCTGAGCGGGAGGCTCTGGGGACGGGCGTAGTAAAACGGGGTGGAGTGGACATCACGAGCCTGGGCGAGCAGAGCTCCATAACTACACACCTGTGGAGGGGAAAGAAGAACCTCTGTCTTACACAATGTAAAATCATTTTTACTACATTATTGTGTAGTATCTGCAGAAAAACTGGAGAAACATCTCAGGAACATACAGGAACACGGTTAGACGGCTTCCTTGGGTCCTCACAGAGGCTGAGCAGGAGGTATAAGATGGACCATCTATGTTTCAATACACCCTGTTCACCAGAAACAAATCAATTAGCATATTTAACCATATTACATGCCGTCCATTACATCTAATCTATATGTATCATGTATAACTGAGCTGAATACTGACCTGGGTCTGAAGCTTTCTGTGCAACTCAGAGAAAAGGGCAGCATCTGCTTCCCGTCTTTGTTTCAGCACTACAATAAATAAGAAAAGAAAAAAAAGTGTTATTTTTGCATCTTAATCGAATAAACCAGAAATATTAAAGGATAGCCTAATGAGTTTAGGTGCTGTTGATAGAATGGTCACAAGCACTATTGGGCCAGTACTGTAGTATAGATTGACCAGTATTAATCTCTTATACCCGATTATTTGCATGCTTATATGTCTGATAACAGATATGCAACATGGTATATATTTTATGCCATGTCAGCTAACTCAGGAATAATAAGATTTAAAATAGTCTCAATAATAAAACTTCAGTGAATTGCATACACTAATTTAACAATATACAATATTATTTAACAAAAAATAAAAGAAATAAAAATATACAGCATCTTTCAAAATTATATTTGATAAAAAAAATAAAAAAATAACAATATTTTCCCAGGAGATGTTTTAAATGTTTTAAAACATGTCCATTACTGTAATTTGACCGAAAACATTTCCTAGTTATTAAATTGATTTAATAGCAGCAGCAACAAAACCAACAACAGGCAAAATAAACTGACAAATTCTAATGTTTTCGAACAGAAAATATAAATGACAAAGTGGGTCTACCAACTTCACAAAAATGTAATAAATAATTCATTTTAAACTACAGTTTATAATTAAGGTTTAAGCATTGCTTATTAGGCTAAGGAGTAAAGACAAGTAGTTCACTGGAATAATTATACATTGTCAGAAATATAACAAACAAAACAGTAAATAAACATTTTATTCCATTAATTAATTAATGACAATTAATAGTGAAATTAATTTTTAAAAATGTTAACGGAATTTTAAAACTGGTTATGATTTGGTTAAAAGTTAAATGGGGGGGATTGAGTAAAACTGATCTGGTAAAGGTTAACTTAGGTTAAAGGCTAACTTAGATGGGGTTTTGTTAAAATTTTGAGCAAGGTTTCTTTTGGAAGCATGAATTAGAATAGGTTGAAAATGAAGCAAATAAGCATATGCCATCATTTTTCAGCCAAAGTGAACTTATAGTTTTCAGCACGAGTTATTATTGTGCTTAATTTCCAGTAATTATAGCTAATTTTTCATTATTTTTTGGACAGACATAAATGTTTAATGATAAACATATTTCTTACCAACACAAAAAATATGTTTTAGAAAAAAAATCTCATTCGTATTGGCAGGGCAAGTATAAATTGGAACTACTACACTGATCCACCAAACAGTTCAAAAAAAAAAAAATCCTTATTGTTAAGCCTTGTACAGCATGTTCTATGAAAGCCTCCTGCATGTATAATTGCACTTGAATAAAGTTAGGACAGGGTTTCAGATTACTCACATTCTTTTTTAATCTTTTCAGACACCAGAAACTCATCCCGTTCAATTGTGGGTGCGTAATTACTTCCGATGACCCGCACGGCATACTGGAACTGATGGGCTACATCAGCTGACAGAAGATACACAAACAACAGATGTATTTCATAAACAGATACCATATTATAAACAATCTAAAGAACTGGAGATGAAAAAAATGATCTAAAACACACATTTTATTCCCATATATAAGACACATTTCAGTTCAATAACAGATCTACATGCTATTTATGTCAAAATCCATAGAGTGAAATTGGTATCTGATTACACATACAGAAGACATTAACTCCATTTTTAGGAAACTGAAAGCAGGGACCATATTCTGGTATGTCTGCTGTTTCTAAAGTCTCTTGTCCAACAATAAAGTGAAATGTCTGTTTCTCATTTATGTCTCTTGTGGACTCTGAGACGCGTTTAGCCTACATTAGAAATATGACAGCAGCAGTGAGCTGATAACAGATGAGATATCAGCTTTAGTTTGAAGCATCAGGGTCTTTATTGACAAGAGGGGCCATTTGAAACAGGGACCCTGTTTTATCCAGCATCCCCCTGATGTTTTCCAAGGCTTTCAGCTTACAGCCTCTCATCTCTGCTGCTCTGACCCTCCATCACAAACATTATCATATCACATCACATTGTCTGTTTTCATCGAAACTCACAGCCTAGTCCACCACTGCACATACTAATCATCTTTTAGCAGCTGTGTGGCAGAATGAGATGGGTGTCTTTACCTTCACTCTTGCCCGTGATCTTACAGCACAGATTCTGCAGAAGCACGTTGGGGGATTTCTGATCAAGCGCCGCCATTGTGCTCGTATATATTACCTTCCGTGCGAGCAGAAACGGTCCGCGGTGCGTTTTTAACCGCTGTCGCTTTTCATCTGCTGGGTTTCAGCTCCTGGCAACAACAGCGCCATTTTAACGGAACCCGCCGAAAAGCGCCCACAGTCGGACAGTCGACGGAAAACACAGCAGCGGAAAAACAGCCGGCTGGGAAATGAGACCTAGGAAAACGTTCCTCCCGACAAACGTTACTCATAACATAATAAAACATGTTGGAAAATTATTATTATTATTATTAATAATAATTATAATTGATTGATTAAATCTATTAATAATCAAAAATGGGGTGAATAATAATCAGCTTTGATACGTGTATGAATTGTGCGCAGGACTATAAACAAGTCCATCAATTAAAAAAATGAATGAATGAATGAATTAAAAAAATAAGAAGAAATATATATATATATATATATATATATATAATTAAATAATCAGAATAAAAAGCTGCACAGTAATTATCTGTAAAGTAGAAGTAGGTTTGCTGAATTAATTGTACTGAGACATATATTTGACTGTAATAATAACAAAAACATAGTTTTAATGAAAAGCTAAAGTGGTAAATGGCTAGTAATTTAATTTATTTAGTTAACAATTTAAATAATTTAACTAATTTGATAGTTTTTCAATATGTATATCAATTCATCATAACAACCCAAAAAGTTAGATTAATAATTATTATATAATATTATCAGTAATTACTCATTGTTGTTGATTTTATTATTTAAAAGTAGAACATACATTATATTTATTATTATTGTTATCTTGATTACATTATAATAATTGAATTTTTAAGTCAAATAGATAAGTGTTTTATTGTTAATTAATATTTAGTATGATAATTATAATTTACTTATTATGCTTATTTATTATCGCTGTTTACGGCTAAAAACACATCTCTTCCATCTTTATTTGACCCTCTAACACTCTCTATTCTAATTCTTTTTCAACTATTTGTTTTCTTTTTTATTTAAAAAAACATGACCCTTTAAGACTTGCACTCTATTTGTTTTCTAACTGCTTGTTTTCTATTAAAAAGGACCTCTAACACCAGCTTTCTCTATTCTTTTTCTATTCTATCGATTTGTTTACTTTTTATCTATTATATAATTAACAAAAACAAAAAAACTTTTTACGTGTACTGCGTTAGGCTAACCGAGTCATATCACTTGCTTATTATTGCTCTTTTGTTGATTTTAATTGCTTCCATTGTCCTCATTTGTAAGTCGCTTTGGATAAAAGCGTCTGCTAAATGACTAAATGTAAATTTAGTTTTATTACTGTTGTTGTTAGTTATTTATTCGACTATTTATTCTTCAAGTCACCACACAGTCCTAAAGCACGCTTGAGAGGCCATGTCATCACCTTACACCGGTTTGCTGCTGGAGATTGACTGGCAGTAACTGGATGGGGAGTTACCGGACACCGGAGGGCAGGCTGAAAAATCCCCTTGTGCGGGTGGGTGTAGCCGAGGAGTGCGCGTGCGCTCACGGGGCTCGTGACGTTCCGGTGCTAACCGACGGGAGTCGGGAGAGGAGAGCGTTACTACACCGAGAAGAAGCAGAGCGAGTGCGGCAGTACACCAGAGGGACGCTGGACAAGGAAGAAGTGGCCAGTCCCTTAACATATTAAGGCAAAACCTGGGAAAACGAGAGCTTGTTGTTTTTCTCCTCAGTCAGTGAGTGTGTTTATAGATGAAACCGGAGCATGTCACTATGACAACGTTTGGACTTTACACAGTAGCCTTCTTCTTCATCTCAGTAACGTTAGGCGCTGCTCTGGAGATATAATAATCGCAGTAGTCGCGTAGGACTGTCAGTTGTCAAGCCTTGAAGAAGAAGCCGTAGAAGACAGTCATGGATCAGAGACTTGCTACAATGATCAGCTAGCGTCTTGTGTGCCCATTCTTCAAGATTAGAGGAGAAAGCGGAGACCGCACACCTGGAGCAGAATGGATTTGAGTAGCATCAGGAAGCTCATCACTCGATACGTGAGTACAGACGCTATCTATCACTCTCTCCAACTTGTTGGTCTGCTTCCGAAGGGCTGCGCTGCTTCCGATACACATTTTTGTACTGTAAAGCTAAAATGACACGTTTTATATTCGTGTGTCCGTTTGTAAGGCGTTGGTGCATCACTTTTGAGCCTCTCTGTGAATATGGAAAGAGCTAGCAATATGGACACAACCAACCGGTATCTACTGTTACTAATCTCAGGCGTTCGTAATGAAGTTATCACTGCGGTTCCGTTCCGTTTGACTGTGACCTGATTCTCAAACGAACTCACTAATGTTATGTTTATATGCCAAATGATGATAACACCGGCTGAGCTCATGACTGAGATTCACAGAGTGTGTTATGAAATATCAAAACTGGAAATTAGCCTCAATGAATTAAAAGGTAATGCGCACGCGCGGAGGGCAGGTGTGGATGGATGATAAAAAAAAAGTGAATAGTTTAGTATTGCACACTTGTCCGTATAGTACGTTAGTGTCCCGTAAGTGTTTTTTCTTCTTCTTTTTAAGCATTGGAAGCGCCCCATGAAATCCCAAATCCCATGTTTTGGTTTCAAGAACTGTTATAGAATATAGAATAAAAAATATATAAAAAAACTAACATACAATCTAAATAAAAATATAAATATAAAATCAGACATTATTATTATTATTATTATTATTATTATTATTATTATTTATTCATATTTTTTGCCGACCAAATGTTTGTATTTCCTCTCTAAAAATCATGGTTTTTGGCAATCTATAATATTTTAGTCAAGATCAGCTGGTACAACCTTGCTAGTTAGGCTACTGTAAAAACAATGATCATATACCTATTTTTCTGTAATTTGTGGGAAATATAACTGTATCATGAATTACACCCAGTGTTTGCTCCCAAACTAGCTTATCCAGCTCAATTTTGAATAAATGTTTTATTTATTTATTTAGTGTGATATATAATTTAGTTTGACTTCTTTTATTATTAGTTTACAAAAGGAAAAATAATTCAAAAGTATAAAAATTATTTTATACTATTAATTGAAAGTGATTTAAAGGCTGAAATGCATGTTGTTTTATGCGTCAGTAAAAAAAAAACCCATCCAGTTCCATTAGAAACAAAGAAACATTGTTGCTCTACATCGTTTTCATAGACGTGTTCAGTCGATAGGTTACTGTATGTCATTACTACACAGATTAGACCTGCTTTTAAGCCACTTAGCACGCAGTATAGGCAAGAGTACATGCTAAACCAACTGTCCAAGCTGTTGGGGGTTAGAGAAAGAGATTTGCTTAGTAATTGAATCAAATAGTGTTGTCAAGATTCCTTAGTGGGTTAAACAAGCGGGCATGTAAGGTTAAGGACATTTTACAATAGAAAACAATGGAAAACAATACTAAATGTTATAATAAATATGTTAGACAAAAGTTTGAACAATATTTCAGTGGTTTATGTTCTGTTTGTTGGTTGGTAGCTGAAATGGTGAAAAAGCCTATGAAAAATCTGCATGAGTATTTAGTTCTGCATCACTGAAGGCCATATGAATCTGTTATTCTGTAGTCTGTCACTGTATCAAGCTGACATGCGAACAGATGAGCAAAATCTCTTGCGCTGTCTAGACAGTCTGTAGAAAACCTGATGAAAAGTGTGCGATAAACATGATGTGAGTATGGTTGTTTCATGTCACAAACACCTCTCACCTGTCTGCCTGTATGTTTGTGCTTTGTTTGCTCAGGTTTTACGGTAAAGCATGTAACACATAGGGCTCAACAATAAGGGTGCCCTGATGAACGATTGCTTCAGTGTTATTTTATTATCATTGAGATAAAAATGTAGAATTCGTTTGTAGTTTTGAATTTAGATTTTAATGAGTAATGCAGTAGTGGTTGTTGTAATTTTTATCAAATATAGTTATTATTCATTTTTATAGCAGTTTTAGTTGTGGTTATTGTAGTACATAAAGTAGGCTAAATGAAAAAGAGAAATGTTGCATTGTCAACAAGCTAAATTAAAATAAGATTTTTATTTTATTTTTAGTAAATAACCCTGGGCTGCTTGTGTCACAAAATATTACAATTGTTGATCATATTCATGGGTTTTACAGAGATCTTTTTGACCAGTTAAAAAATATGACTATTAAAAACGTTTTATTGTTGAGCTCTGCACACATTATAGCAAGGTTATCGTTAAACCTTCAAAATCATATTTGCATCATTGAGGTTTGAGAACAATGCTTCATTTGAAATGCAAAGCAATAAAATCTAAGTCATTCTTTCTAAACTTTGAAATTAATTTATCCTGAGGAAGTTTAAACTTTTATGAACGTTAAATGCATGTCAGTTTTGCTGGTTTGTTTATTCCACCCTAACCAATCATTTAGAGAGAGCTGTGTCATGAGACCAGACTGAGTGTGTTAGTCACATGAATGTGTGTGTGTGAAAAGCACAGTCCACCCCATTGCTCTTTGATCTAATTCGTGCTAATGCAGGTTGGCAGAGTGAGAGGAGAAAGGCAAATGAGAGTAGCGGGTAGAAGAGAGGGAAGAGAGATGGAGCGAGAGAAGACAAGAAGAGAGAAGGATGGAGAATGAGATGGGTCAGAGGAGATGAGAAATAAGTCCCTGTGAGGATTTGACTGGCTCAGACAACAAAGGAAGTGACAGTGGAATGATTTGCCTCCACCTGTAGTAGCGCTCACTTCCAGAGTCTGTCTGTCTGCTGAATGGGCATTTTCACTGTAGGAAGATAAATATGTGAAATGGAAATCTGAAACCTCTTTTAATATGCAAAGCTCATAATTTTTAGTTCAGCTAGAATTAGTTGGAAATATGGAAATTGTTGTCTGCTTTGAAGTCTGGAAGAATGTTTCCTGTTTAAGAGAGAATAGATTAGTTTAGAACTCATAGTAAGCATGTCAGAATTATCAGTTGCAATCCCAATGTGCGCATTCTTATTTAAGGTTTTATTTTAAGGTGAGGTGTGTTTTTTTTATTTCAGTATTCAAATTCTTAAAATACTTCATACATAAAATACTTAAAACATAGCAACATTATTAACCAGTGGTTTGGGGCAGGGTTATCTTTTTGATCAACCAATCACAGACAGAGATAGTATTTAAACAATCATTGAATTAAGTAATGTCTTACTACTTAATGAATATTATGCTGTAGAACGTACAAGTGAAACAAAATGCATTATTCCACAAAAAAGTTAACACATGTTTTCAATAGAATTTTGGCAGTTATTAAAAAAATATATATATTAAAAATGATAAAAAAATCGTGGCTCTCTTTCATACTGCAATTAAAAAAAAAACGGTAAAAACGGTACTTACAGTTATTAACATTACAGAACAGGTTTCCAGTGTTTTATTACTGCACAAAAACGCAATTCCCAGCCATCACCGGCTTCTGAATAATTTCCAGCATTGGACAGGAAGTAGCATGACTGCCCATTTCCTGTCCCAGGAGGCTCTGAGGTAATTTGAGCTCTGTGTACAGAGGTAATCTCATTGTCTGTGGTCAGCATCAGGAAAGACTTATTGGAAACCATCCTACATGAGCAGGAATATGATTCAGCTGGTCAGACAGAAAAACAACATGGAAAGTCATGCCAAGCAAGTTCATACAGTACATAAATGTTTCTCTTTCCAACTATGACCATAATCAGCTGTAGACTAACTAGCATGAAGTCTAGGAGTTGAAGTATTATTAGGAATATGTAATATGAAGGAATAACATGCTACCATACAATTATTATTTCTGTTGTATGTGTAATTTCTATGCACAAATTAACCAGAAGTATTATTTGTTGTGATTTCTTTTTTCTTTTAAACTCTTTCTGAACTCATAAATTGATCCGATGTGCATTGTAAGAAGAAAAATAAAGACAGTAGAAAAAAGTTCTGATCATTTTCTGCCAGGACGTTATCTGTTAATTTTATGGATATTTCCTTTAACCCTAAAACACAACACAATGCAATTTGTAATTCAGAATACAGGGAAAACACCTTTGAAAACCTTTAATGGACTTTACTTAGATTGTAAACTAAGATATGTTTACCTAAGACTGCATTTTGGGTAAAAATCTAATTGGTAAACAATTAGCAGTTTTTATCTACTAAGATAACTGTAAATAAATCACAAAATTTAAAATTGTAAGGAGGTCATGTGACAACAGTGTAACATACTGTTGTTGCATAATGTTTCATTTCACATACTATTTTAAAACTATATTGTATGCAGTAAGCTTGCCAGTTATGTCAACCATAATAATAACGTATTGCATTGATTTAAAACATGTTTACTTGACTAGCATTAATGGTGCAAGCAACACATATTTGATCAATAAATCTAACCTAATGCAACACTTTAGAGCACATCATCCAACACAGTAAGTGCCAGCAACTAGCTGACCAAGCAACGAGAAATAAAACTATATCATTAAAACAACCATCAGTTTTACTTAAATAGTCTTAGCTTATGACATTGTTTGTGCCTTTGGCTGGATAGTAACACCCCACAACAAATCTGAGCAAACCATATGTGGATATATTTACTGTATGTGTCTCTTATGATGGATCACGTTGGTTTAATAAAGCTAACAGCAGCAGATCAGGGTGATGTATATGAACTTTCTGTCATCACTTACTTTCCTTCATATCTTTACGAACCAGTATGACTTTCTTTCTTCCATTCTGGCAGAATTTTAATTTTTGTGTGGAGTTAAGGTTTTAGACTGCTGAGGACTGTTTGCATGCTGCATACTCATGCAGGCACGTACGCATGTTCACCATTCATCCCGTAGACAGCGGGCGCTGACCCGTGAACCGTATCCTAGAAGGATTTGTTGGTAATCAATATGGGTGATGAAATGATAATCATTATCCTCATGCTTGACATGTTCACCATAGTTCAACTGAAGTTCATGGTCTGCGCCTGAATTTACAGAGTTGAGAGCTGTGTTAGGAAACGACTAGAAGAATTTTGCCATACAAA